TTTATTTATATTTTTACAGACTCAAAATTGAGTTGATAAATATCCAAATTTTATGATTAATTCACTCAATATAAATCATGGGTGTAAAATTGTTGGGGTACAAATTAAAGATAGTTTTTTCTCAACTTTAGATTTTTATTTCTCCATCTTCAATGCATAAAATCCAAATCTATTTATAAGAGATAAAAGAGGGATGTCTAGCCCTCACTTGTGCTAAATATTATCCCTCAAATTGAATTAGAAATATCACAAATGTTAATTCAAAATAGACATCATGACTTATTAGATTTGTGAGAAGAAAAAAATTGGTCGGGTTGACCAATTTTAGACAACCTCCATGGTGTTAGTTGGCTAGAATGAACCATGTTAAGATGTATTCACATGTCAAGTGATTATTTGGGTATATGTTTTGTCTAACTTGGTGGAGAAATGAAGCGTCAAATATCTTAGAAAGTAGGTCACTTGAGCAGTTTTTTTGGCTAAAAACCTGAAGAAGATGAATAGTTTTTTCAAAACAATGTTATTTTGGATTTTTTTATTATAGTCTTTTGATTTGAGATTTGTTCTTAATTACACCCCTGAGTGGCTTCAAATATTCAATTTTATATAAATAGACCCCTAACAAACTTCAATTTAAAACCCACATTTCAACACCTTTTTTAGTTTGGTCCTTAATTTTAGATTTTTTTAATTTTACCCTTAATTGACCATTATACTTTTAATTTCATCCCTAATTTCAATCAATTGGGTCCTTATTGTTTGGTATCTTTTGCTGATTGGTTCTTGATTATGAATTTCTTCTATTGAGCCCTTAACTGATTTCAAAACTTTGATTTTATTGCAATTTACCCTTGATTTAAATCAATTAACTTGTTAAAAATTAAATTAAATTTTCTAAAATTTGAATCTTCTCAATTAAGTCTAAATTGAGCTCCCAAACTTAATATTTCACCAATTAAGCATCTAATAAAATTAATTTGACTCATTTAAAGTATAATGAAGTCGTTACACTTAATTAAATCCTTCAATTGGATCCAAATTAATTCTTAAACATAATTAAACTTTAATTTGGCTCATGATTAAATCAAATTGGCCTATTAAAAATTTAACTATGTTCTTTGACTTAATTTTAATGCAAATTCATTCAATAATTATTTTATCTGATCTTGAATTTGCATTTTTTTCCTTTTTTGGACATAATGGTGTAAAATTAGATCTCAAATTTCCTTTAAAATTACAACTTGATTTTTATATATTTTTAAAATTCTCCTCAGCTTGCTTTTTTCATGTTGTCATCTTTTATTTTGTTTTCTTTGTGTTGTCATTCTTTATTTTGTTTTATATATATTTTTAAAAAAACAAGTGAATTTTGAGAAATAACCCATAATTGGGTTATGACACCAATCACCATAATGATGACCGAAAAATCTGGGCAGCATCTTTTTTGGTGAAACAAAAACTTAATTTTTAAGACATTACAACCCCAAAACACTTCACAAATATCCTTATAACACCCAAGAATAATTCCATCAACTCCAAGTACTCAAACAATAGCCAAAAAATTCAAAACCAAATCGAGTTAATTTTGATTTTCTCAATTTAGTTCTGATTTTTTATGTAAAATTAAGGCTCTAAACAACAATTATAAAGCTCCTCTCATATCTAGGATCTTGTGGACAACAATGAAACTTATTTTAATGATCGAAAATGGAGTGAATTGTGACTCTTTCTCTCATTGTTAGAATTTGACAACACTTATCTCTTTCATCTCTTTAATCTTGAACTGAAAAATAAAACAAATGAATTTGTATATCAAAATTGATTTTTTAAACATTTCAAGAGACCTAAATTGTTTGAGTGACATTATTTTTAAAGATGAAGGACCTAAGTGTATTTTGCTTGAAGTCTCCGGTACACCATCCTTGTATGGTGTCTTTTTCATTTTAGTCCTTATATTTTTTATTTCACTCTTGAGTAAGAAATCATGAGTTATTAGCATTTAATTACAATCAAATAGTACAAAATAAAACTTTGAGAATGTTTGAACAATACCCAACCATAGTAAATAATAAAAAAACCGATTTCCTTATAAATCCCTCATTTAGACACTAATTAAAACCTCACAGAAGAGGACAGCTTCATCACTGGATTTATGCCTCACCTCTCTCACAGAACAACTAATCATGACCTCTCATATTGTCTAGTCAAGTTTCATCTAGTTTTTACTCACTACAGGCATGCACACCAAAAGGGAATTTCAACGGTTATTGATTACCTCTGAAGTGAGGCATGCATTTACAGATGGTTTTTTTCTTATTGGGCAAGTGTAGTGGATTTACACATCATTTTATACTAGTAATGAGTCTCTGTGAAAAATTTGACAGCATTCAGGATCTCACTAGCTAGGTGTATTTATATACTATGCATCTCTCTCGTTAAAAAACAATTTATCCTGAAATTAATAAGAAACTTTTCAATATTAAGTTAGTATCTATAGAGAAGAAACAAATAATATATAGAAAAGAAAAGTATAGGTATGTTGTGTGCAATATCTCTGGATTTAGCCTATGTTTGGCTGTGAAGAAAAATGGTCCTTTCTCTACTAGGTGTATTTATATAATATATATCTCTCTCGTTAAAAAAGTTACTATCTTGGATAAAGTAATGTTGGTTCTAATTGGAAATCTGATCGTGAATAAAAATCATAGTCACAAGTTAATTGGCTATCAAACTGTGGTATTTCAATTTTTAGATTTTCAAAAGAATAATAATAAATAAATAAAATTTAATAATTGAATTAAAACAATACGAATAGAAAGTTTGAGAATTAATAAGGATAAAATTATAAATTTACAAGTCAATTTGGTCAAAGAATTAATAAGTTTAGAACCTTAACTAATATTATAATTAATTTAATTAATGAAATTAGAGGTTTAATTGAAGAAATATCAAAGTTTGGGGTTAATTTAGGTTGAAATTGTAAAAAAAATAAAGTTTAAGGACCAAAGTGAATAGGTGGTGATACCATGAAGGTTGATAGATTTTTCTAGGGATAATTTTGAAAGAATTAAAAGTTGAAAAGCCAATTAAGAATTGAATTGATTAAATTAAAAACCAGTGACTGTTTTGTAAATGGCACCAAAATCCAGGTGTTCAATTATAATTGATTTAGGGTTCAACTTCGGGGGAGCAAATTGAAAATAGCCATTTCAGTTGAAAACGACGTTGTTTCAAAGCAACTGTTCATTCACCTTCTTCATTCCACCGATTCAGCAAAAGCATTCGATTCACGTCTCCTACTAGCTGCCCACCTCGCCCCCACGATGCCATATTCAAATGCCAAGATGTCGTGACCAATAGTCTTGTAATGGCAGGACTGTGGGTCCCTGTTTCTTCTCAAAACAGAGACGATCATGCCTCATTATCTTGAGGCACGAACGCACAACATTCTCTAGCTTTATAAAAGCCAGAGAAAGGCTAGATGAGTGGGGGATTGAACAAGCGAGTAGAAGAGAACAAGAGTGGAGGAAAGAACAAAGAAAACCAGGAAAACAGAAAAAACAAAAAAACAAACAGAGACTTAGAAACGAAAAACAAAGACAGAAAAAAAAGACAATAGAGGATGAAGAAGAAAAACACAAAGGACAAACAAGAAACAGAGAGCAGAGGAGAAAGGTAGAAGGGGAGAGAACCGAGAGAGAATTAAAAGAAGTAAGACCAGAAGAGAAGCGCACGAAAAACAGAAGTGGAGGGAAGAAAGTAGCTTTGGCCAGCCAGTACACCTTCGCCATCGTCTTCGTCCCCAAGCACCAGAAAACATAGAGGACAAACAAGAAACAGAGAGCAGAGGAGAGAGGCAGAAGGGGAAAGAACCCAGAAAGAAAAGAAGCAAGACCAGAAGAGAAGCGAACGAAAAACAGAAGAGAAAGTAGCTTTGGCCAGCCAGTACACCTTCGCCATCATCTTCGTCCCCAAGCACCAGGTATGCTACGTTTTCCCTCCCCTTGCATTTAATTACCCTTTGACTGTATCAAGCGTGCGTGAACAATTTACGCATGCCTGCGGGTAAAAACTGTTTGGGTTACTGGTTTGGGCCAGTAATCAAACCAGATCAGCTGGCTGGGAGATTCATACTAAAAAATAGAGAATAGCTGAGGCCAGGCTGGGTTTGGGTCTCATGCCCATCCAACCCAACTTGTTTTGAGGTAAGCGTGTTTATATTTTTCTCATTTATTTCACTCATTTTGTTTTGGTATCTAGCCAAATAATTTTTTTAAAATATTAAAAAATTTCAAAAAAATCATGGATCCTTTTAAATTTATTTATGGGTATCTTGTGCTTTTTTTTTAATAATTTCATTATATATTTAATTTATAATTTTTTACTGTGAAATATAAATCTTGTATGTAATATATATATATATATATATATATATCTTTTTTTTATAAAAAATTACAATAAAAAATATATATGTTTTGCTTTCAATTCAAATTTTACAGGTTTATTTATTAGTATCTGAGTCAGGAATATTATGTTTTTTTGTGTTGCATAATATTTACCAATGTTAAAGTTAAAAGTATTTATATCTAAATATTTATTGGTACTGAAGTCAAAAATATTACAAACATGCTATTAGTAATATAATACAATTAATCTTTATCAATTTAAAATAAAATTAGTAACACAACTTACCTCAAATAAATTGTTTAAAGAATGATAATATAATTTTTTTTACATAATTAGTATCATATTTTAATTTTTTTATTAATCACTTAGAATTTCTAATAATTATAATATTAGATTACTTCTCTTTAAATTATACATTTTAACATGCCAAATATTCATTTTTTTCATAATTAAAGTTTTAAAGATTATTGTGATATAGATGCGATAAAAAACAGCTTTACTATTTACACTACAAAGAAGGTTATGTCTCGCTAAATTAACTCATAATTAAAAAAATAAAAATCCATAGGCCACAAGCTACGAAGCACGAAACCAAAAACAAAATGCCAATAATTAATATGAATATATGACAATTAGCTCTTTTGCCTATTGAAGGCAAGAGGCCCTTTAATTTCCTTAATTGAAGCATCATTTAATTTGTAGTTGATTTCTTGTGCTCTTGTCAGGTGTGAGTTCCGGTCGCCATTAGACTCTAAGCTCTAACGCAAAGTTACTGCGACCCCTTCTGGATGGCATCGGTTGATTTATGGCCTAACTGCAGTGGAACAAAAGCAATGTGTTAATTAATATATTGGGAGATGAGGGATAGGCTGAGTAGCCGAGAGAGAAATTAACACACACGTACAGCAGCAAGTACACTTTGCCGACAACAATCCTTTACATGATTATGGCAGGAACGACATTTCAACTCATGATCACCTGTAATTGCAATCGATGAGTTAGTTCGAGTTCATATTTACACTACATATGTGCACTTCTTTTGTGAGATGCCAAGGAACAATGCTTATTCCCTTTCTGCTTATAATTAAATATTTAAATTTAAAGATGTGGGTATAGTTGTTTTTTAAAATATTTTATTATTATTTTTTAAAAAATATTTTTAATATTAAAGTATCAAAATAATTTAAAAATACCACAAAAAATATTAATTTTATAACAAAAAATTAAAAATTGAAAAAACATAATTTATTTCAAACAATTCCAAAGTTTAATACCTGCCTAGAAAATTTCATCTTCAACTCGCAGCAACTAATTAATGGCAGAAAGTTAATACTAACACTACGCCCATCAATACCTAATGCATCAAGCCTTGGTCTTAATTCACAAATTCTTGTTAGCAAAAATTGCTAGGATTTATAAATGTTTTGTTTGGAAATGGGCATTTTATATTTCTTTATTTTTCTAAAAAAACTGAAGAGGACCAAAAGCTGTTTCCAACTTCTCAACTGTAATAGAAAATTTTGAAAAAAAGATGTTAAGAGAATAAGAATTAAAAGTGAAGTATCATATTTGAAGAAATTTTAATTGAAAATCGATTAAGTTGCTAATTTCAATTGTATTATATGTGATAAGGTTAGACCAAAATTTGATTCATACGTAAGTGTTATTGATCGAAACAGTTTTATTGAATTAAAACCAATTTTGTGAAAGTAAACACGACTAAACTTAAATAAAATCAACTAAGAAAAAATATTTTATGGATAATAGTAAATACTAATATAAATCAAAACATAATTTAAATTAAACATAATTATAAAAATAACCTAAAATTACTTATAAAAAATATAAAAAATATATTTATGGTTTTAAACGAGAAATGGAATAAAAAGGGAGGGAAATATACCAAAACAAAGAATTTTTCTCCTTCAAAATTTCTGTATCCCCTTACCTTTCCTCCACGAAATGAGGGTTAAATGTTAAACTCCTTGAAATGATTCTCTCTTTCTAAATTTGTCCCAAACATGAGGGATGAAAACTGAAAGTAGTAAAGTATTTCACCTCTCTTACCCTTATACCAAAATTAAGCTAAAAACCAAGGTTCTTGTTTGGTTCACTTTTTTTTTAATTTTAATGTAAAACTAAACGATAACTTTTATTTTCTATTTAAAAAAATAGAAACACAAAATACAAAAAAAAAAAATAATCAAGTAAAGGCATCCTAGAAGTCAAAACCTCAAGACCAGCAACGCTAACAGGAAGAGCAATAATTAAAGAGCCTGTTTGCTGACTACGTACAGAGATGATCTCATAAAAAATTTAAAAAAAAAAAAGATGTATACTTTTTGTAGCACTTTATATAAATGTATGTATAGCTCCTCCTTTTTTTTTAACATACATCAAACCAAGAGTTATTAAAATTCCAGCTATGATTTAATTATTTTTTGTTCAGAGATAATGATGTATAATTTGAGGTAGCTGTAAATGAAGAGGGAATCACTTCAGATATTTCACCAACTCAGATTTTATACATATGATCGTACCATTTGCTGTATCACCAGGCAATTGGGATGGCCGACTGGTAGATGCTGTAGACAATGTTGCTGGTGAAGAAGTTTTAGATGTTGCTGCTGTTAGCGGCCGCGTCAGTGATGATGGCTTTGTCGTTTCAAGTAGGCGAATGGTACCAAAACTAATTAGAAAACCTGCAGTATTACTCCAAGATGCTGAAGGGTCTGAAATATTAGTTGACGTTTTCGTTCCATTGTTTTTAAATGGTGAAGTTTGTGAAGATGAGAATATCTCTGGGGTTACTGATGGTTGAATTTGTGATGTTGGTGGCAGTGGCAGCAGCTGTTGTGAAGGTTGAGATGCATTGCTGTTCATCGACTCTTTGTTGAGAACCGTATCCCATAAGAATGGGAATACGTCTTCTTTTTCTCTCTGATGATCAGGGGTTACAGATGGTTGAACTTCTGATGTTGATGGCAGTGGCAGCAGCTGTTGTAAAGGTTGAGATGCATTGTTGTTCATCGACTCTTTGTTGTGAAACGTATCCCACAAGAATGGGCATACGTCTGCCTTTTCTCTCTGATGATCAGGGGTTAAAGATGGTTGAATTTCTGATGTTGATGGAAGTGGCAGCGGCTGTTGTGAAGGTTGAGATGCATTGTTGTTCATCGACTCTTTGTTGTGAAACGTATCCCATGAGAATGAGAATACATCTGCTTTTTCTCTTTGATGATCAGGGGTTACAGATGGTTGAATTTCTGATGTTGATGGCAGTGGCAGCAGCTGTTGTGAAGGTTGAGATGCGGTGTTGTTCATCGACTCTTTGTGATTACGCTTATCCCGGAAGGAATTGCGTGGAAGAGGAGAATCTTGTGGAGACTCGATAGCATAATTTTTATATGGAAGATTCCTATCAAGGTTATCATGGTACTGGGAAGATGGATTATTGTTACACAAATTTGTGTTAGGAGCGTAATTGACAGCACCCGTGCGCACCATTATGACCGCGTCCACGTCTCGATGGCTTTCTCCCTTCTCATCCCTGTAAAACAAGCCTCTTATAGTACAAACTTGAGAAAGATGGACTTCTTTTTTCTTTTTTCTTTTTTCTTTTTCCTTTTTCATTTACTGGGTCAAATGACCATTCCCTTAAAAAAGTTTTTTTTGGTAGAATTTAGTTCTTACCCAATGAGAAAATATAATTTTTAGAAATAAATTAATAAAAATCTCTCATGCATTTTAGTATACAACTTAAAAGGATATTATTAGAACGTGTAGTTTACAATAAAAAAATCATGGTAACTTTCTTCGTTTTTCTTCATTGCTCGTAACCTCATGGGAAACAATTAGTTCTAGTGATTTTTTCATGAAAACACTGTTGTTCCCTCTTTGGTTAGTACAAACAGTACTTATCAAAATTAATCTGACTTTAATCCGGTCATGAAGTCGGATTCTGGATTATACGGGTTGATTAAAGTCAACCCAAATCAAATAAAAATATTTAAAAAAATATATATGAAATTTTAATATTTTATATGAAAAATTAAAAAACAATAGATGTGATTTTTTTTCTCACATTATAAAAATAATATGTGATCTTTTTAAGTTAAAGTGTTTAAATTAAAAAAATTTATTCCATATTAAAAAAATATAACTTTTTTATTGTGAATATAAAATATATATATATATTAAAGTACTTCAAATTCTACATTCAAAAAATAATTTTTCTCTTGTAAATATAGAGTGTATATATATATATTAAAAAATTTCAAATCTTATATTAAAAAAATAAAATATTCTTCTAGTATTTATATAATGAACTTTGAAAAGGATTAATAACTCATTAAAAAGTATATAAAAAAGAGGTCTTTGGCTAGAAGAAAAAATACAATTAAAAAAAAAATTTACCTGGAATAAATATATTTGTTACACCATCCAAACAATTTATCAAAAGCAAATTCTTTTTTAATTATAATAGATTTACACTTGACTACTCAAAATCATTTGTTTTCTCAATTCTGGTTGCATCAATTACTCGTGTTGAATTTAAAATGTTTATTTTGATATAAACACTGAGTTATGATGAATTATACAATAAAAAAAATTGTTATAGAGGAAATTCAAGGGTTTTGACAATGCAAACTTTTAGATATATCAAAGTTTTAACAATGATAAAACAAATTTGAACTCTTGTTAAATACAAATTAAGGAAAAAAAAAAACAAATCTTCTGTCTTATATATCACAGACATATAAGATCCATATTTACTTGTCGAAGTTATTATAGATTGTCTAATGTTGTAGATCATGGTGTAAAACTTTCTATATATGTTTCTCAAATTCTTTATTTCTTTTAGAATAAATAAATGTCAACTAATATTAAAGGAGTTATTGATGACTTGAGTAATAGAGAGCTGACATTAAAAAATTACTTATGTAAAGGGACTTAATTAATTATTATACCAATAAACATCTTTAACACCCTTTTTTGATGGAAGTAAAAAAAAATATTGCATGATATATTTGTATTTAACAGTAATAGTCTACAAATTAAGTATATCTATAAAAAAATATAAACATAAAAAAAAAAACAAGTATGAGAGGCCCACAAATAAATCAATGAAGACCCCTTAATATTTTTAAAATTTTCTATTATCAAAAAGAGATTTGTTTGGTCAAATATCAAATTGGAATGGACATAAAAATTATGGTAAAGGCATAAGGATGCGTTTTGCCAAGCACATCCTTAGCAAACACAATTTGAGCAGGTTAGGCCTTAAAGCCCAGACCCTACCCACTCTTTTTTTTTTCCTTTTGGGCTAAATCTAGCCTAGCCATGTGGGGTGGGCTAGACCCAGCCAAACTAACCTGGTTACTGGTTCAAACTAGTAACCCGATTGGTATTTTTTTTTTTGCGAGTGTGCGCTAGCTCCTTGCTCACTCTTGTTATAGAAAAGGGGTAGTTAAAAGTGAAAAGGAGGGGACAAAATGACTTAGTTGTTGTTGGACTGTTGTTGCCAACTTCTTAAGTGAAGATTGATGCAGGTGCTCATTGTTGGGAAAATTAGTATTATTCCTTCTGTATTTTTTTCCTCCCTCTGGTGCATGCACCAAGATCTGTATTTATAGTGTTAGAGTTTTTTTGCATGTGAGAAATAAAGTTTCAATCAAACTCATTCTCTTTTTTAAAGTTTGAATTTGATTAAGAATCAAATTTGAAAGCAGATAACTATTAATCTTAAAGATAAGGATTATCTTAAATATAGAGATTATCTTGAAGATAGGATAGAATGATAAAAGTACATTGTAGTCCTTAATTTCTATATAAGTTAATAAATCATATTTTTTATCAAAATAAATCTCTAATCTTTTAATTTTACATTTCAAACCCTATAAAATTAAATTAAAAGGTTAATGGGCCAAAATTAGGTTACAACAACCTTAGTGCCACTTATTTGTTTGTGAATCCTATTTTTTATGCTCACACAAAACATGTTGAGGTTTATTATCATTTTGTTTAAGATAAAATTATGAAGAAGAAGATTCAAATTTGTTTTATTTCCTTTTAGGATCAACTTGTAGATGTCTTTACTAAGTCACTTCCTACTGCTTCGCATTTCAAGCTTTGAGTTGATCCTCCACCCTCGGCTTGAGGGGACATATTATGGAATGTACCTATATAGAAAATATTATAGACATACTATGTAGGAAGTATTGTAGTCATGTTTTTGTGTTGCAATCTCTATCATTACTATTGTATATTGCTTTACACATAAATATAGAAAAGGTTAGCTAACCAATGGGTTAAGCCTCCCAATTATTCTCAACGATTGTCAATTCCTCTTTTCTATGATTTTTCTCATAATATAAAACCAAACAAACTTCTCTTCACTCGCTAGGAGTCCAACCAAAGGGTCCATAATTGAAATAAAATTAGTTTTTCTTCAACTTTACTTTGTCCTTATTGTTCCTTAAAATATCATATTTGATTCATGAAAACAAAAACCTTGTAATTTGATCATATTATTGATGCACACAAAAACTAAAAATAATAGACAAACATTAAACACAAAAATTTAATAAGCAGAAGGAGTTATAGATATGAACTTTAAATTCATAACTTTATTCTCTTTATCATAACCTATTTTTGGTTATTATCTCAAATTTTTCTTTCAAAATAAAAATAAAATAATAATAATAACAAGAAGATTGGCAACTTGGTAAAAACAAGTTGGGGGGGATTTTAAATATATGAAAAAATCAAGCTGAAATTTTTTGATGAAGTTGGGCTTTGATCATACATTGTTGTACTAAAAACTAAGGCGACAATACATATTCAAAATCAAATTAAATAATTATTAGATGTAATTAAGTTCAATGGCATAAATAGATTTTTAATATACCAATTTGATTTAATCATAGAAAGAAAACAAAAGGTTTAATTATATTTAAAAATTAATTTGGGTCTAATTAAAAGATTTAATTAGATGCAAGAACTTAAGTATACTTTAAATGAGTCAAATTAATTTTATTATGGACTTAATTGGTGAAACATTAATTTTGGGAGCCTAATTTGAATTCAATTGAGAAGACTAAAATTTTAGAGGACCAAACATAATTTTTACAAAGTTAATTGATTGTAATCAGGGGTAAATTTACAAGAAAATCAAAGTTTAATGTCAATTGAGAGCTAAATTAAAAAAATATTCAGCCAAGATTTTTTATTTTAAAAAGCGCTAAACTTCAAGGATCTAATTCGGTTAAAGATCGGGGTGAAATTAAAGATAAATGAAAGTTTAATAGTAAAAAAATAGTTAATTTGCATAAATCCAAACAATCATAATATAAAAAAAAAGACATTGAAATTCAGGGTTGGTATTAAAGTTCGGCAAGTGCAAAATGACATGAAATTAAAAGTTTAAAGTCAATTAGGAATGTAATTAAAAGAAATCAACTGTTTTAGGACTAAATTGAACTTCAATTCCTAAATTAAAACCTTTAAAGCCAAAATGACATTGTTATTTAAGCTTAATCCAACATCGAATAAAAAGTTCTAGTTTTTTTAAGTTATTATTATGATTTAGAGTGATCATATCACCTTTAAGACCTAAATATTTTTTATTGATTTATAAATATAATTGTTATGCTATTGAAATAATCTGTTTGACGTAAATTTTTATCTAATTATGATAGATCCACCCTTAACCACTCAGGATTATCTATCATTGAAGACCGATTGCATCAATTACTCATGTAGAATTGAAATTGTTTGTTTTGATATAAAAACTTAGTTATGATTTATTATACAATTAAAAAAAAAGGTTCTTAGAGAGGAAATGCAAGAGTGTTGACAGTGCAAAACTACTTGTTCGTTAGATATATCAAAGCTTTAACAATGATAAAAACGACTTTAAACTCTTGTTAAATGCAAATTAAGGAAAAACAAAAAAAAAAATCCTTTGTCTTATATATCATAAACATATAAGATCCATATTTACTTGTCGGAGTTATTATAGATTTTAATTTAATGTTGTAGATCATTGTGTAAAAGTTTCTATATATGTTTCTCAAATTCTTTATTTCTTCTAAACTAAATAAATGTCAGCTAATATTAAAGGAGTTATTGATGACTTTAGTAATAGAGGGCTGACATTAAAAAATTACTTATGTAGAGGGACTTAATTAACTATTATACCAATAAAGGGACTGATTAAAATATGTTTTAATAGTTCAGGGACAAATGACATCTTTAACACCCTTTATTCATCTTTTGAATCTTATTATTATTATTTTTTTGAGACCCTTGCTTTATATAAAAGCGTGGAGTAAACTTCTCCTTGTGTGGAATTCTTCCCCAACTTTATAACCTTGTCAAGAAATTTTATGGTATTTCAATTCTAATTATTAATAGATATTTACAATATAATAGAGATAGAGAGATAGATACACATAAAAAGGGACATGTATACGGAAATTAAAAAATATTTTTTAATAAATGAGAGAATTTATATTATTTTTTAGTAAAACCGAGCATGATTTTCTCTTTCTATTTGATCCATCTCTTTTATAACTATTAGTGACAACATAATTGACAACATGTTGTCAACCAATCCTTTCCAGTATTTTCTTCTTTTAACCTCTACTTTCCTGGTGAGATTGAGAGAACCAACAGCTGCGCTAGCCACCTCACTTTTTGCTAGCTAGTTTACAGCAACGGGGTGAGAAAGTGGCCTCAGCATATTATTCCAAGTTCCGAGCTTGTTCATCCTGCAATCGTGCAGCTGTATTGGTTATTCCCGCCACTCTTTCTTCAATGCTTGATGTACTCTGTGATTTTCTGATTGAAGTTGCTGGCTTAGAGATTATTTACCAGGTTCTATTTTCATATCTAACTAAGAATAATTAGCCGTTCTTGTGCGTTTCTGTTCGAGTTTCTTGTTTCTTCTTAACCGGCTTGTTCCTTTTTAACTTTTTCGTTTGTAATATTTATATTTCTGAATTATCAAAGAAGATTTCTCTATTAAACACACAAAATTGTGGTTAGAAATCTAAAATTAAGTTCATTCTTTTCCAGGATTTCAATTTTTAAGAAATGGCGGGAGCAAATCCAACTGATCAACAAGAAGGCGGTGGTCAATGGCTGATTAACATCAAAACGCGCTTTGCAGACTTAACTTCACTGTCCACAGGTTGGAGCATTTGCAAGGTTCCATGTAAGCTTCGGGATATGAATGCTGGTGCATACAATCCTCAAATTATCTCCATTGGTCCTCTTCACCATGGAACAGACAATGTGCTGGACATGGAGGAATACAAATGGCACTATGCTCTATCCTTGCTTGAACGAACACATAATGCAGTAAAGACATTAGATGAATGTGGTGAGACCATTCTAATAAATCATGACGCAATTGTTCGAGCATATTACCCAGGGTCAATCAAATATAACAGAACTATTCTTGCTCAAATGTTATTATTCGATGGTTTCTTTATCCTTGAACTTTTTTTAAGGTTTTCCAATGATGATGCGAAAAGGCAATATGATCCCATCTTCACGACTTCTTGGATGATCTCAACCCTCCAACGTGACTTGGCGTTGCTAGAAAATCAGATTCCAATTTTTGTTCTTACGGAACTGTACAAAAATATAGTGAGGCATACTGCTACTGCTCAACCGCGGCTCGAGGAGCTGGCTCTTCGTTTCTTCAGACCAGAGTTGAATACCAATGAAGGAGTAGGTGCCGGAATCAGATGTAGGAATTTATGTCATTTGCTTGATCTCTTACACAGAAGCTACCTACCCTCTTCTCTGAGAGTAGAATTTCTAAGCGGCGGGGCCGGCCCATGGAAACTAATATCTTGTGCAACAGAACTTTGTGCGGCTGGAATCAAGTTCCAAAAGGATACAACAAAACATCAACTGGATTTGAGTTTCGAAAATGGTGTTTTCAAAATCCCACCATTGCAAATCCACGACTCAACAGATTCACTCTTCCGGAACCTCATAGCTTTTGAGCAAAGCATGCCAGATTGTGGACAATACATGACGTCTTATGCATTATTTATGGATCGTCTTGTTGATACATCAAGTGATGTCGAATTGCTTGCGAAAAAGAGAATCATACAAAATGATTTAGGTGGCTATGAAGATGTTACAGATCTGTTTAACAACATCTGCAAGCAGGTAGTTGTGCGAGAATTTTATTTTACCCAATTATGCGAACAAGTGGATGCGTACTATAACAAAAGCTGGCATGGATACAAGGCATCTTTGAAACAAGACTATTTCAAAAACCCATGGACAATTATATCTTTCATTGCTGCGATTCTACTTCTCTCGCTTACTACATTGCAAACCATGTACTCAGTGTTTTCCTATTATCATAACTAGCTAGCTGATCTAGTTGCATGCAAGTATGGCTAATTCGTGGCCAGCTCCGCGTTGTACTCCTTTTGGTTTCTCCTTCTGAACTTCAAATTTTTTTCATTAGCCTCTTCTCTGTGTGTGGTGTTCGTTAGCCTTGTTTTTAAGTTTCAATGAAATATTTTTACCCAAGAAATATTAAATCCAAGTGGTAGATTTCACTTTCTTTTCCTTAATTATTATGTATTTATCTAAGGGGCTCCTTCGATATTCTTGTTAATATATACGTACGTCGTCTTATGGCAGAAAAATCAATGATCAACATGGTGAGTCTAGTCAACCTAACCACCGTAGTTACCAAGAATTTTTTATTTTATGGTTACATTTTAATATTAAGATTGGTTTTTAATTGAATTAAAGTTAACTAAGATAATTAAATAAGTCAATTGACATTGTATTTAGTGTTGCTAATAGTAATAATTAAAGTAGCAAAGTAATGATATTGATGAATATTGTGATATGTTAAAAAATAATTTTATTCATGAATTCAATGAAAAGAATTTCCTTAGACACTAGAAATAAAGGAAGAAAATACTTTTCATAAAATAAAAAACCTATTTTAACTCTAAAATTTCATGCTACTGTTGTCATGTATATCAAACTCGTGATATGGTAAAATATAAATAAATTGTCTACTATGGCTCGAATATCATGTAAAATTTGACAATTGGGTTTTTGTTTCATCCAATAAAAACTTAAGGCTTGTTATGATTTTTTTGGAAGTATCATGAGCATCTAATAGAAAGGGTTTTCATTTTTTTAAATGAATGATTTAAATATCTATTCATTCTAAGAGCTGATTACAGAATTAATTATTTAGTTCTTTCAATTCATAGATATGGATAAGATCTAGATTTTATAACATATAAAGATATAGATTTTTTTTCATATGGATACATTTGGATCATTTGATTTTTTTCTTTTATATTAATTTATATAACTGAATTCATTCAGCATAGGATATGTTCACTAAAACTTTCATACACTTGCATTCTATATTTTTGGGTCTCTTAAGTGGTTTAGTTAGGCCTCTTTGAAACTCTAATATTATAGTAAAGTAGAATTTCAACACAAAAATTATGGATTGCACTGTTTTCCTATTGTGCAATTTTCATTATTCCCAGGGCATAGAAAAGTACACTTTGGCCTTTGTACTTTTTTATTCTTACATCTTTGGTTCCTGTACTTTTAGGTGTCGATAGTTTAGTCCTAAAACTTCAATTTCATTATATTTTAGTCCATAAAAGTTGGGAAATGGGACAAAGAGTTAACAAAAAAAGAGAGAGAGAGTTCTGGGCCAGTTATTTTCAGTTGCTGAAATTTGTTGTATTGGATGAATTATCTGCGCCGACGATATATTGCCAAAAAATTCAAGGTTCTCAGCACGAGTTAAAAAAAAATAAAAGAGGAACCTATGATTTTTTAAGAGGCTAGCTAGGCGCACATGCATTGCTTCTCCTACACACACGCATTGCCTTCTTTATGTCCTGCACCTTTTTCCTTGAATTATTTAATTTTGTAATAAAATTATTAAAAATAAATCTAATTATGTACTTTTCTAATAAGATTAGAACTTTTATGATAATATTAATAATTACTTTATGAGCATTTATATATTTACGAACCTAAATAAAAAGAATTTTTAGAAAATATTATTATAAACATTCAATGAGAATAAAAAATATATTTTATTATTTTTAATTGTAAATTTTTTATATGGGTTTCTCATACTAATTATTCTTGGATTTTTTTTTTTTACAATTGTGAAAAAACTATAAGGATATGTTTTTTATAACTGAAACTTACTTTTAGATTATGATGAAATTGTATTGAAAATATGATTCTTCTAAAAATTACATGATTTTGTAAAAATAAAAATATTAATAACAAAGAAATTTAAATTTTTATGTAAAAAACTATTTTGATGATTAAAAAAAAACATGTTTTTGCTATAAAAAAAGGAACACATGACTAAAAAAGAAGAATTTCGACTTAAAATACCTATTTTTCTTATTGTTTATGAATGTTTATGATAATTATAACAAAATTAAATAAAAATACATTTAAAAATGATCTTGTAATATTGCATGGGCAGCTAGTATATACTATTAGTCCTTACAAGCATATCCAATAATAAAAGTTATTTAGAAGATCTAAATTATTGATTTGACTTATTTAATAGTATAAATGTGACTTTTTTTATATATGAAGAAAAGTAAAGCTATTTTAATAATCCATTTATATTTTATTATATTCAATATTATTACTTTTAATTTTTTTTAGAAAAGTTATTAAGTAAAATTTTAATTGATGAAAATAATATTTAAACAATTTATTTTAATATTTTTTATTTATTTAAAATCTTACCTTACTTATTTATTTTATAAAAATTAAGTACAAGGTCATGTAATATTGTCCAAGTTTTAAACCTAAAAAACTTTTATTCATGAATATATATTAAAAAATAATATAAATTATATTTTAAAATCTTAAATTAAAAATTTAAATTTTTAGTTTGAATAAATTTTTTAACTCTAATTACTGAAAATTTGATGTTTCAATCGGTGACATACCTTTTGAGTTTTTAGAATGTGTTTGGGAATGGTAATAGTTCAAAATATTTTTTATTTATAAATGTATTAAAATAAAAAAAAATTTAAAAAATTATTTTAGATATCAACAAATTAAAAAATATAAAAAAAAATATTTTAAAAAAATATTTTTAAAAAAAAATATAATTCACACCATGTTTTCAGACAGTCTCCCTGAAACATACTTGATAAGACATTTCTAGAAAATCCTTCCCGATTGCTTCAAAGAAAATCAAATTTTGAAAACGCCCATAGCTGGCAGACACCATTATTCAAATCGTTTTTATTAGAAGCAAACAAAATAGTGAAGATGACCGATGCAGGAAAGTCCGATTAATAAAAGATACGGATTTATTTTATTCAAATCAAGTTGATAGCAACATGAATGCATTTGGAATAAATGGATCGGTGCAAATTTAAAAAAGGTCTGATTGTTTCAAATGATCTGTTCAATTGAAAATAATTTTATAAACTTAGTTCAGTGTTTTTAAATTAAACTTGTTGTTTTGATTATTTTTTTAGTTAATTTTGAAATTTTAGCTTAATTTTGAGTTTTATGTTATTTTCCTGTTTAAATTAGGATTTTGTAATCTTTTTTTTGAAAAAAAACTATTAAAATAATTATTCAATAATAAATTTATAAATTAGAATTTTTGTATGATTCTTCTTTCAAAAATTCAATATTTTTTAGATTAACATAAATGTTCGGATCAGCTTACACGGAGCACAACTAATTTAAAAATTCAATCTTATTTGATTCATATTTCTAGGTCCGGCCGCGTCTCAAGAGTTCAATGCATTAATCCTTCATCTACTTTTCTTGGGAAAACATTAAGATATATACAAACCATTTTGTCTTAAACCACACAAAAAAAAAAACCCTCACCATATATGCCTCCCTGTCTTAAACCCAAAAACTCCGATCTTTTTAAAATCAAAATCAAAAACTTTTAAGGTCTATTTAAAAGTATAATTATTGTTATTTTTCAAATAATTTTTTATATTAAAATACATACTAATAATTTTTTTATTTTTTAAAAATTATTTTTTATATTATCACATCAAAATAATTTAAAAATACTAAAAATATATTAATTTAAAATTAATAAAAAAATAAAAAAATAAATCTTTTTAAAAATATTTTTAAAACACAAAAACAAATAACCCCCGTTAATTTAATCATAGCTTTGCCTCCGAGAGTGATCACCAAGTGTTATAGTTTGTCTTATATGTCCACTTTTTAAATTTTTCTTTCTTTCCATTAATCTTATATGTCCACATTTAAAATTTTTCTTTCTTTCCATTAAATTGAGTAGTTTGCAGTGATGTATGTTGAATCCTTTCTAATTTACCAACACTAAGTTCACATGCCAATTTTGACTTGAGAGACACTTTTTTATGAATAAAAGGTGGCTTATTGAAGAATACTTAGTAAAATATAAATTTATTATCTATTTGATAAAGGGGTATTAGGATTTTTTTAGCATGATTGATGTGTTTTTACGCCAGGTTTTAGGTATGTTTAGGATGTTTTTAGCATGACTGATATGCTTTCTAGCATTTTAAGTTTTTATTTTTTTTAAATTATTTTTAAGATCATCACAATAAAATTATTTAAAAAAATTTTAAAAAATTATTTTAAAAAAATTAAACGTGACTTATTGTTTTGTATCCCTTCTTGCTTTTAACCGATGATAACCTAACCAGACGAAAATGGCCTCCTCCTTCCTTCACCTCAATTGAGAGACAAATGAAGCCATAATCAATAAAACTAGAATACGAAAGAAAGGTTTTAATGAATCTTCAGTACAAGAAACAAACAACAATTATCTCGACTGCTTATATTAACCTACGCTGAATATATTTAAGCCACAAGTCCCAAACTTCTTTTATTACCACAAAAAATAAAAAATTATAGCATTCTTAGGACGCCCAATAAAACCTTCAGCAACCATAAAATCAGATCTTATTGCATAACTCTGAGCCAGAGGATACAGATTCAAAGACAAAGGTGATAAAAGAAACAGAATCAAATTTGCCCCTACGCCAAGAGAAAGGAAATATCAACCACCCCTTCTTGCTAGTCTACGTACACTGTCACCACCTATACTAAAAATAAAACACAGTTGGGTATTAATCAGGTGAACCATACACTCATTTATATGCTAAAAAATAAAAGCAAGTTAAGTTATATCTACACTAGGTTGGATCCTAATCAAACTAGGTTAAAACCTATATATTTTTTTTTTATTTACATGGGGTGTCCGGGTCAGCTTACGTACACCATGACTAATCCACACGGCCCACTAAACATCCTGCAAGCCCAGTGAACAGGTAAGGCACCGCGGGGGTGACAGATGTGCATGATAAGACTCA